TTAGACTTCCCAAACCCTCTAAGCTGCATGTGCTCAGACTTGCTTAGCCTAAGCATATGCTTTAGCAATGTGTGACTGGAAGGTAAGCCTGGAATTAGAAGCAAGCTCAGATCCATGCTTAACTGGAAGGGCAGATGACCAATGGCACTGGTGCCAAGTTTGGCACTGACAGAAATTTAGGCTAGTACTACGTATAATTCTTTCTAAAATAAATTTGAGATCAGACACTAAGAAAGTTTGCCGTCTTTGCAATGCTCTACTCTTCTTTTGGAACTCTTATACAGATTTAAGTATTATTTTTTTCAAGCTACAATTAACTAAGGTCTTGTTTCTAACTTAGGTCCCTCCTAAGGTTTTGCTTCTCTTTTTTTGTTTGTTAAATTTCACTATTAAAAGGTAATTCCACCAATATGTGTTACCGCAAGCATGCTCTTCACAACTTGCTTTGGCTACTGTTTGTTATCTTCCCTTTACATGCCACATTTCTTCCTCCTCTCTGAACAGGTTGAGCACAAACTCTTACAAGCACTGAGCCCTATCTGCACCATACTTCTGTGTGACTGGAATGCAAATCTAGACCTTTAAAGTAGGCTTAGACCCAGGCTTAACAGACAGTGTAGGCTAGTAATGGTGAACCACTGGTCAAAATCTGTCCTCCACTCTGAGGCAGCTCTTGTTTTTCATGTCATAATTTACCAAAAACTCGTTATGTATAACTGAAGAGTGTTTCTAGTTAAAATGTACCTGGTAAAAAGTTAAAAAAAACTACCATTCTACATTAGCTACTTTTAAATCTCTCTTTGGATCTCACCCCGGTCATGGCTTCTATAAAATGTTAGAAAACAGTTAGGCAGTCAATGTACTGTATCTACTGCTTCTCCTAATTCACTCTTCCTTTGTGATTCACCTTCTTTTGTTTGCTCTAGTCAATGAAGTTGCTGGAATGCCAGTTCTTATGAGCAGAGATCACCTTTTTGCTGCATGCTTACACATGCTCAGTGCAATAGGCTCTCATTCTCAAAACATTTAGTGTTATACTGACATTAATAACAGCAACAAACTAAGTGTATGTCATGCTGAGAGAAAAGGAAGAAAGAGAAAGGTCATGGCCATCGGGAGAAGTGCCTGAGGTCTAGAAGAAAGGAAACCTCATTCTAGTCTTCAAAAAGGGCAAGTAAGAGGATCCACAAAACTACAGGCTGGTCAGCCTCATCTCCATCCCTGGGAAGGTGATGGAGAAACTAATCCTGGATACCACTTTCAGGCACACGTAGGACAAGAAGGCAATCAGGAGTAGTCAGCATGGATTCAAACAGGATACATCATAGTTAAAAAATCTGACAGCCTTCTACAAAGGAATCGTCTCGTTAGATAAGGGGACAGTAGTGGATGTTGTCTGTCACAGAATCACAGAACAATTGAGTTTGGAAGGGACCTCTGGAGATCATCTAGTCCAACCCCCCCTGCTCAAGGTCACCTAGAATATGTTGCCCAAGACCCTATCCGGATGGCTTTTAATATCTCCAAAGTTGGAGACTCCACAACCTCCTTGGGCAACCTGTTCCAGTGCTCTGTCACCCTCACTGTAAAGAAGCTTCTCCTTATTTTCAGATGAAACTTCCTGTGTTTCAGTTTGTGTCTGTTGCCTCTTGCCCTGTCACTGGGCATCACTGAAGGCTTGACTATCCTTGACTTCAGTAAGGCTCCTGACACTGTCCCATAACATCCTCATAGGCAAGCTGATGAAGCATGGGCTCGATGAGCAGACAGGAAGGGGGACTGAAAACGAGCAAAACTTCCCAGCTCAGAGAATTGTTATCAGCGGCATGAAATCTAGTTGGAGGCCTGTAGCTAGTGGCATCCCCCAGGGATCAATACTGGGTCCAATACTGTTCAACTTATTCATCAGTGACTTGGATGAAGGGACAGAGTGTACCCTGAGCAAGTTTGCTGATGATATAAAACAGGGAGGAGTGGCTGACACACCAGAGGGCTGTGCTGCCATTCAGAGGGGCCTCGACAGGCTCGAGAGCTGGGCGGAGAGGAACCTCAGGAAGTTCAACAAAGGCAAGTGCAGGGTCCTGCACCTGGGGAGGAATAACCTCATGCACCAGGACAGGTTGGAGGCTGACCTGCTGGAAAGCAGCTCTGCCGAGAAGGACCTGGCAGTCCTGGTGGACAACAAGTTAAGCATGAGGCAGCAGTGTGCCCTTGTGGCCAAGAAGGCCAATGGTCTCCTGGGGTGCCTTAGGCAGAGTGTTGCCAGCAGGTGGAGGGAGGTGATCCTGCCCCTCTACTCAGCCCTGGGGAGGCCTCACCTGGAGTACTGTGTCCAGTTCTGGGCTCCCCAACACAAGAGAGACATGGAGCTCCTGGAGTGAGTCCAGTGAAGGGCTACCAAGATGATGAGGGGACTGGAGCATCTCTCATGTGAGGAAAGGCTGAGAGAGCTGGGACTGTTCAGCCTGGAGAAGAGCAGACTGAGGGGGGATCTTATCCATGGGTATAAGGATCTGAAGGGAAGGTGTCAAGAGGATGGGGCCAGACTCTTTTCAGTGGTGCCCAGAGATAGGACAAGAAGCAATGGGCAGAAACTGAAACATAGGAAGTTCCACTTGCACATAAAGAAAAGCTTTACTGTGAAGGTGACTGAGCATTGGAACAAGAGAGGTTGTGGAGTCTCCATCCTTGGAGATATTCAAAAGCCATCTGGACAAGGTCCTGGGCAATGTGCTCTAGGTGACCTTGGCTGAGCATGGGGGTTGGACTACATGTTCTGAAGAGGTGCCTTCCAACCTCAACCATTCTGCGAGTCTGTAAAATAGCTGCCATATTTTATTTTGGAGGTGCTTACCACTATGCTGAATGTCATCAGTATAAGAACTTTATTGACAGAAAGACAGATTGATCTAACAATAACAGAGACAAAATGAAGACACCTGTCTACATATATATATAAAACCATTGCCAAAATCTCTAAAACATAAGAATATTATATTGTTAAAAGAAAATACTTTTTTTATATACCTCTGTAATTCCTCTTAGCTGAAATAGATTCCATTTTATGTTTTTCTTGTTTACTATTTGAATAGCAAGTGATTTTCACTCAAACAGCACAAAAACATAGAAAGAATGTTAGAATAACAGAACTCTTCTCAGAAAAGGATGACATGGATAATGAAAGCATGAATAAAGAATGTTTTTAAGATTTTGAATAAAATGTTGTCTCAGGCAGGTCTGAGCTGTTTAGATTTGAACACCCTCAAACGTTCCAGGGGCTTATACCTCAAAGCTTAATTTAGGCCTAGCTATTCAGGATGACAAGATTTACAGATACAGCTTATTCCTTCTGTGAATAATATACATGGAATATTTTTTGCCAAGACAAAGGATTTCTGAAAAGCTCATTCATTACAATATGGAGTACTTACTGAAATAAGAGTTCTATCATAGGTTACATTCATAGTATAGCCATTAAAATGCTATATAACATTAGAAAAACTTAAAGATTCATGTAGGAGGAAACCAACTGCCACCTGTGGCTTTTAGGATACTGTTATTACTATTCATGAGCTCTAGGTTGCATATTGATCACTCCTTTTTTTCACTTACTGTAAGTTGAACAAAGACGAGATCAGAATTCATCACAGTTACCCCACTGTAAAAATCAAGAAGGAGTTTTTCCAGTTTTTCAAATTCTGAATGTGAAATTCAAATGAAAAGACTGTAATTCCCTGTTTACCTGTCTTCATTAATATACAATTTAGCCTAATATTTAACAAATATAACACTGAAAAAGATTCCCTAAAATTAAGAGAGTATTTCCAATCGTTAATAGATGGGAAAATCTACTTATGTTTTTATTTTAATTAATTTTTCTTCACTTTTTGCTTTTAATATGATTTTACAAGGTTTTTCTATATCTCTGATAGCAGTAGAACATATGTGGAAAGCTGGAGTTTTAAAATAAAAATCCTCTCTATCTCTTAGTGAGAGTCTGAAAACAGAACATCAGGCTGATGCAGTTCAATGGAATTCTAAAAGTTATATTCAAGTTAGCTTTTGCTTTTATGCATCAGCTATTAACTGTAAAGGGTAATTATGTAATATTAAAATTTAATAAAATTGTCTCCACTATTATACAACAAAGCCTGGCTGTTAAAAATTACGGATCAAGGTTTGCATGAATATGCTCCACTAAAGCTGTATTAGCTACATAACTTTTTTTTGCAAGGAATAAGTCTGAAGAAATTTTTCACTTAAGTCTTTTAAAAACCCTTCACAAATGCCATCTGGTTATGGCCATTAACTATGGGAAGAGATTGAAAGGAGTGGCTCTACAGAAATATTAATAACATACCATTACGCGAGACAAAAAGCAAGAACATTCGAACAGCGTTATGTAGTCGTTATTTTTCCCAGTAAACACAAACACTTACCTAGAGAACAACTCATAAAACGCAAAACAATACAGATTTAGAAACCTTTGTTAAATCTCACAACCCCCGACGTGCTTTTTTACAAATAAGGGAAAGTTACCACATAACTGAGTTACGGAGGTCTGACACTTCCAAACAATAGTCTCATGCTAAAGAAATTAAATATGAACACAGTGAAAATGACAGTATTGTTTACCACGGAAATAATATTTGCACAAAACAGGACACAATAACATTTTCTGAAAAAGCTGAACAGCGATACTAATGCCTGTTATGTTTCAAATGTGTATATCCAATGTATTTATAATAATCTTTTTAAAGGTTTGTGAGAAATAAATCTAATCTTCCCCCTTCCCCCTCCCTCCCTTTTTTTTTTTAAACTCTGCATGGTATATGTGCTAACTTACTGAATTCATCCTTCATGCAATTCCAGTTTATTAAAGAGGTTAAAAATTTATAAAACTCTGATGGGATATGGTTTTAATGCTTCATCACACTACCCATCATTTGCTTTTCAATCTAGATCAGAATGATCTTTCCCACTTCCCTGCAATCACCTACCTGCACAGCTAATATTTTCTGAGCGTTCTCATGAGAGGCTGCCTGGAACTTCGCCAGCCCAGCCTGGCTGTGGAGGCCTCGCTGTCGGAAGTACTCCGCCAGCGCCCTGCGCATCCTGCT